TCATGTGTATGAGCTCAACACAAACCGCTCTGGCTCGCATCAATGCACAATGCACTCATCAGGCAAGACCGTTGTCACATAGCACATCGCACAATGCCTTCAGTAAGACAGATACAACAGGACTTGTCCGCCCGCACACTATGCGGAGCACACTCATTCCGAAACACAGTTATGCCACCAGCACACAGTGTGCCATACGCGCGTTCACAAAGATAGCTTCGCTTACACGAATTTGTACATTCATCCACAGCCGCACAAATAATGCACCGACGCTGTACAATGGATATACTGGAAGCGGAACTAGTGTAGTACCCTACCACGCAAAAGTATTGGAATTGCAAACATTGCCTGTAGAGGTGTAAAGAAATAGCACAATTACTACAAGCTGGAGCATATTCCATTGTACAACTACGCCTGACCAGCTACAGTTAAGAAAGCACTTTATACCACACTCTACAAATCGGGCATGGTTGGCGGCGCTACTCTCGTTACCGAATTATTTGGTGCGTGTCGGAGGAAGAGAAAGGGAGAGACAAAATCCATTATATTACAGAGGATGCTTGGAGTACAGAAACAAGTAATTTCATTCACGACCGCAACAAAGCTCGAGCGGAGCCGACTGGAGTACACTACGACACCAATCTGTCAAACCTATGAGAAAAGCATACAATAAAATCAACATATCTGGATAGTCACTGGCGGCAAGCCACAAGCCACAATGCAGAGGACAATGTTACCGGGCTTGATGTTGCGGCTGCGTCGAGACCATTGCTGAAGCACATTCAGCCGAGGCACTATTTCTCGAAGCCATCGCCATCATACCTCGCGTAGGAGCTGTTGGAGGAGCCGCCAACGACGCTGTGGGTGCAACTCAGCGACTTCTTCGAGTGGCAGAGTCAGCTCGCACTGTCCATCTAGGAAGTGCATCGGTGTTAGCAGTGCGGCATCATCCACGTCAATCCGGACAGCGGTCAACGGGTGCGAGTTGAGTAGGCCTTTCGCACTCACCATGGCAGTTACAAGTTCCTCATCAGTGAGATTGGCCTGGGACAGAGTTGCAATCATTGCGCGCTTTGCTGCCTTGACCACACACTCAAATACGCCGCCAAAGTGTGGAGTGAGAGGTGGATTGAAGCGCCAGTGAACTCCTTGGCTGGCCATACTTACGGCCACTTCATTAGAACCTAGCGCTTGATCAGCTTCTCTTAGCTCGCGCTTTGCACCGACAAAGTTTGTCCCGTTATCTGACACGACCTCAGCTGGCACGCCTCTGCGCTTGCAGAAACGGGTGAATGCTAGCAGAAAAGACTCGGTGTCCAGGCCATACGCCATCTAGAAATGACAGGCTCAGGATTGCAAACAAGAGAAGACACAGAGGTACCTCTTGAGCTGGGTCTTGCCACGTCCTTGTTTTGTCCGGAACGGACCGGCATAGTCAACTCCCACTCTTGAAAATGCCCGGTACGGTGGAGCTGTTCGGAAAAGCGGGAGCGGTGCTATCTGCTGCAAAGCCACAGTGGCCCACTTCTTCTTGCACAGCACGCAGTGTGCACAATGAGATCGTGTGACAACCTTGCCACGGGTGATCCAAAACCCCAGCATCAGGTTTGCCAAGAGGTGGTTTGGGCCCACACTGTGATCACACTTGCGATCTTCAGCGTCGACAATCAGCTGAGTGATCCGATGGTGCTGGGGCAAGATTATCGGATGCCGGGTATGCACAGGCAAGTGGCTGGCAGTCTTCAGACGACCTCCAACGCGTAGCACACACGGGTAGTCCTTGTCGAGCACTGGATTCAGCCGTAGCAGCGGGTCATTCACTGCAAGGGACTTCCCTGACGTCAGCTGCCAATACGGAGCGGGATAGCTCTCTGCTTGCGCAATCGCATACCAGTGACATTCGGTACGCTGGAGCTCCTCAGACTTCAGCTCCACAGAGTCGACTGCTGTACTTGCTGCTTCCGGATCCCCTCTCGTGCTAGCATGACGTCGACGACAGCGGTTGATGAAACGGTAGCACCAGGCCATCAATCTTATTAGTCGTTTCCATGACGAGTAGTTGTCGGGGTGGAGACGAAACACCTCCGCTGACACTTGCTGCACAGCGAACGCCATCACTTGCGCTCGCTTTACCATTCCAGGCAACTCTTTTGGCACGGTTATCTGACGAGACGGCCACTCATTGTGCTGTGGGACGAGGAACTCGGGGCCGCTCCACCATACTGAATCACTGGCTAGCTGGTCTGCTGTCAAGCCTCTGGTGCCCTTGTCGGCTGGGTTCAGCTTTCCAGGAACGTGATTCCACTGGTTGCCAGCTGCCATACTCTCACCCAGTGAAGCACGTTCATCGAGTCGGACCAGTAGGTGGCATCAGCCTTCGGCAGATCTAGCTCGTCATTCACTGTCTGGGCCAGGCAAACACCAAGCATACCACCCTTCAGCTCCAGCTTCGGGATCGACATCTTCTTAATGGGACATGGACGCGCCTTGGCGAGTGCTAGCGTCACTCGCACATTGCCATCTGGGTACTCAGCATGGACGTACACGTTAGCGGTGTAGGCGGCATCTGAAGCAGCCGTGAACACGTGCAGCGACAATGTAGCGACAGACGACTCGCGACCCGGACACTTGAAGCAGCGCGGCGCACGAATCAGCGCCAGATCTCCCAGCTCGATAAAAAGAGGATGTCCATCTCCGCGTGTGCGCAGCGTCCAGTGGATCATCCCAGCCCACGCCGAGGATGTACAGCTCCTGGAACATGACACGAGAGCGAATCGTGAAGGGAGCTAGTTGTCCGCGTGGGTCGAATATAGATGCCATCTTACTCAGCACGGCTCGCTTGGTCAGCTTCTCTGTTGCAGGCGGCTTGAACTCAAAGGCGAAGGTATCATCCTCTGCCGACCACATCACGCCTAGCATCTTGACTGATGGTAGCACACAGTGATCATGATCATTGATGCTAGCTATGAGCTGCGGTAACCGGTCAGCTTCCAGTACGCCGTCCATCACCTCCGAGCTATTGCTGAGCCACTTGCGGAGGTGGAAGCTGCCCTGCTCAAGGATGTCCTGTACTGTCTGCTGTGTGCGGATGGCTTCCGGTACGGAGACAGCAGAGTGCAGCAGATCATCCACATACATGTCTCGGTCAACGATCTGCAACATGGCTGGGTCCTACTTGTCGGCTGTTTCGCGGCACACCACTTGTAGCGCCTTGCATGCCAGGTACGGAGACGCTTTGATGCCAAACACCAATCTCTCGAACTCGTATACGCGTGAGTCCCACACAAAGCGATGATATCGGCGGTCTTGCTCAGCCAGCATGACTTGCAGGAACATCTCGGTAATGTCCGCCGTGAGCACTACTGGCTCCTTGCGGAACCGCAGAAGCTCTTTCACTAGGTCATTCTGCAGAGCGGGTCCAGCGTACATGCACTCATTGATTGACATGCCGGCATACTTGGCAGCAGCTTCAAAGACGACACGTACCTTCGTGGTGGCCTTGTCATCTCGTACAATGGCGAAATGCAGCAGGAACCACTGGTCGTCGCCATCTGCCTCAACCTCTGCTGCCGACAATGCGCGCACATAGCCTTTGTCAATGTGGCTACATATGACTTTGCCGTATGCTGCCTTCAGCTCTGGACGCTTGTCCAGCGATTTCCCTAGCATTCACAGGCGATGGTCTGCCATGGCGCGATTAGCGGTGACACCAGGCTCGCCGTTGCTGTGGGTCCATGGGACTGCCATGGTGACTCGCTGATCATGGAAGCTGATGGATTTCTCAACGATCTCCTCAGCCAGCTTCTCTGCAGAGGTGATGTAGGTGCCTTCGTGCTTCATACCGACTGCCTCCAGATTCCAGAAATTCTGGACCAGGCTGTCTATGCTGCATTCGCCGTATAAAGCATGCGCATAGTTGACGGACAACTCGTCATCACTGGGTGCACTGGGCGTTGGGCCATACGCACCCATCCCAGTGGCGTCTTGCGGGCAATTGGTCCACCGCTGCTGCTTCTGTACTCCGCGAGTGATGCGTGGGCATCAATGACGTCTAGACTGATCAGGAGGTCGACCATGGTGCTGGAGATTTCGGGAAAGTTTATGAACTTCAGATGCTCATAGCTGGACTTGTACCGGCTCCAGTCGACGACCTGCGTCTTCTTGGTCACACGGTCATATTCGCATGCCTTGAGCGGGTATGACACTGTTCCATCAATGGATTCCATCTGCACCTTGACCAGTTCCCGATAGCTGGAGGTCTGCTGTTCACCAATCGTGGATGTGTTCCACATGTGAACTTCACCTGCCATGTCCAACTCATGGGCTACATCCTCCCGTATGAAGCTTGCAGTCGAGCCCGAATCCAGCATGGCCGTACAGATTGCCGACTTGCCAGTTGGCCCAATAATCTTCACTGGCACGGTAGCGAAAGCAGTACTCTGCGGCACGCTGACACTAGCATGGTGAGAACGTTCCTGCCGAGGTGCCGGAGCTGCTGGCCGCATCGTAGCGGGATTCTGCGCTGCAGTTTGTTGTGGCTGCACTGACTTGCTGTAGTGCCGAAGTGAGTGGTGCCTCTCTCCACAGTGGGAACGTTCCAGCTTCTGGCACTCACGCGCCCAATGTCCATGCTCCAAACAACAGCTACACAGCTTGGCACGCTTGACCAGGTCCCAGCGGCGCTTGGTTGTCAGCGCCCTGAATTCCGGACACTCTGCTGTGGCATGGCTCTTGCTGAACTTGTCACACTGCTGAGTACTGAGCTCCACAGCATACACAGCAGATGACCTAGGCTCTGGCGGGACCGCAGGAGGTGTCTTGTTCAACTTCTCTGTGCCGACTGTCGCCAAGATGTCATCGGCTAGCGTTCTGGACCCGTTTTACCAGCCAGAACGACAATGTGGTTGCGTTGCATTTGCTGTCTGGATGTGGTTCGTAAAATCGTATAACTACACTTCTGAGTAGCTTCTCCAGCGCACTTAGGAATATCTCCCTACCAGGGGTCTCTCCAGCCAGGTCCAGGTTCATGAGCACATTTGTGAACGTGACAGCAAATTTCCGCAGGGCTTCTGAATCACGGTCTGCGATTCTGGGATGGTTCAGGATTGCCTTCTCCTGTAGTGCCAGGTGGCGGTCTTCTCCCTCATACCACTGGTCAAGTTCTGCCCAAGCAGCAGCGTATGCGCCTAGCTCGTCAAACATCTGGGCCACAATTTCCTCAGCCGAGCTTCCCTGCAGTACCTCCTTTAGCCTAGCCAGCTTATAATTGTCGGATACGTAGCGATCCTCATCCACCAGCCGCTTGAACGATTGACTCCACCGCACAAACTGTTGCGCGTTTCTGCTAAACTTGGGCAGCTCCAGCGGCTTCAAGTGGTGTAAAGGACTGACCCCATGCGGGCGTTGCATACTGACAAGCTAATCATGCACATGGGGCTCCACAGCAGGTTCCGAATGAGGAGACCGCTCAGAAAGTCTACTCATTGGAGCACTATAGCCAACTGACGTTGCTCTGCTGCTCAGACTCCGTGGCTTCGGTGGTGGTGTTGGCCGTGTGTGTGGTGCTGGGATCGGTGGCATAGGCCTCATGTGCGGTGGTGTAAATGGTGGCACAGGGGTAACCTGTTCTGCGACTGCTGATTGTTGGCCTGATGCCACTTGGCCAGAAACAGACTCAACAGGCGAATCCAAAATCGCCTCAGCAGCAGCCATCACACCACTCTCCTTATCAAACTTCGCCTCCCACTCGTCCAACTCATTCAGCAGTTGTTCACTCTCTTGGGATTCCAACATACTGCGCATAATTTCTAAAACCAAATTCAGCTCTGATCGTACAAATTCCAATTCACGGACATCAGGCTGCAAATATCGGTGAGACGGCGACGAGCAAGCAATCAGTGTTCGCAAGCGGTTACTAATCCGAGTGCGGCGTCTACGAAGGTTTGTTCTGCAACGAATCAACTCTTTCCAGCGATCCTCAAATTCCTCAACAGGAGTTTCACACACGCTCGTACCATAATGGCGTGGCGTAAAACTACTAGTCACAAACTCTGGTGGTGGCGGAAACGCCATTACCACCGCTGACACTACCAGTCGAAACCTGTCGGATCCGGCTCGAAGGACCAAATGTTTCACCGGTTCCCTCGCAAACCCACACTGACATTAGACACAACCATTGGAGGCATCGATCTATTTAGAAGACTGTATTACCAAACATGTTCTCAAAACACCATTGAAGAATCTAACTTAAAAGGAACAAAGAACGGAGAGCTGGGGACGCACGTACCCGGCCCCGTACCGGACACACAGCCAAGGAGGATGACACTGTAGCG